TGAACGAACATAGGCCGATGCAGGAAGCATCGAAGGCCGGAATCAATGCAATGCGAAGAGGACACGAAGTGGCCTCCACAGGGAGTGGAGGGCGGGCAAAGAAACAAATGTCATGTCAAGCAATCTATGGTAACATCATGCCAGTGCATGTGAACATTATCATAGTGCAATCACTTGCCAATGCAATCGACTTCTGAGCCTGTAGGCGGAATTGGATCGAACATGTTCGAACGACAGGGCTGAAGAATGTGACGAGACATCGATGGTTCAAGTCGTCATGGTACAACCCTGTTAATGCATACAGCTGTCTCAGTAAAAGTTTTCATCAACTTTATTTTATTTTGCGAAAGGCTGACATTGCAATAAGAATGCATCAGCAAGCTGACTTACATTTTATTGCTACCTTACAGTGGGCCGTTCGTGCGAGTTGCCTGTTTGTCTTCAAGACATTCATTAATGTGCTTTTGAACGACTGAGGCAAAGGACATGTGCAACCAACGCTTACTGTGCAAACAAGCATTCACTGACATGAGAATTGACACATCTGTCGTTTCGTCTGCGCTCAAGTAATCGCACCTTTTTCTTCAAACAACATTGGGGAGTCTCACAAGGCCGTCCTCTTTCCTCCTTTCTCAAGTACGGGCGCCTTCGCTCATTCGAGCATGGCCGTCATCAAACGACTGGTGCAGTCACACACAACGTCGTCCGGCAATCGGACGGCTCCATCAAGGTGGTCCACTTCACCACGGGAGGGCGCATCCGCCGGGTTGGCACACGTTGGCACTCGTGCGAACCACGCCATCAAGCTCATGCTTTCCTCCAGGCGAAGAATCGCTTCCAGGACGATCTGACCCTGTTCACTCTTGGTGCGAGCACTCAACAATGAATCCCGGACACCATTGTTGTCCACGAAGAAAACGACCGGTCTCTCATGAAGGTGGCTGCGCCAGCATTCAATCGCCAGCAAGACCGCGAGAAACTCAAGTTCAAAGATCAGGGTCTTTGCACCAACTTCGATGAAGTTGACCAATGTCGAAGGGGGCAGCTGCCAGGAAAACCATGACAAGAGTTCTGCATTCTCATTGGACAAAATTCCCCCGACACCCGCCTTTGGGGGTTTCGGCGCCTCAGGTGGCTCGAAGTAGGCATCAGTAAACACGAAGCATGGGCACACAGAATGCTGCGCGATCAGCCGGCCTCTCGGCTCCTGCAGCTTCTCCTGGTATCGGCGGAGGGCAAGGGACACAGAGAAGGACAACTCCGAAACAAATTTGGGAGCGTGTATGTGCTGCGTCAAGGCTTTCAGGGCCAGTACGCCAGTGCGTCCAAAGACGTGGTTCTCAGCGAACCCGGGCCGGCCTCGCAGCTTCTCAGCAGTCCCTCTGTCCAGCCTTGAGGCTTCGAGACATTGGCCGATGCTGTTGACCAGTTCCGAAATTCGGGACTCCGTGTTCTTGATTTCGACGATGCCTCGTGGCACACCTTCCAGACAAATCAGAGCTCCCAGGGCTTGGATGGTGCATGACATGTCCGTGGCTTTGTCACCATCGCGGGCGAACGTCCAACCGGTAGCCAAAAGAATGAACTCCAAAAAGTTCGCGGAGGACGTCTTGAGCTCATCCGGTGACGCCAGCAGAAAGTCATCAAAGTAGCTCGTTACCAGGAGGCACCCTCCAACACAGGCAATGTACCACAATGCCGCTGAGCATCTGAGGAAGTGGTACACGGAGGCGGTAGCTCCGAAAGGCAGGCACTTCAGCCTGAAAGCCTCTGCTCGGCCGGATTCAGGGCACCAGGCAGCGATATGGCTGAAGCGCTCCATTTCTGGACTCAGAGGCAGTTGACGGTAGGCCGAATTGAGATCGTAAGTCTTTCCCACCAGGCTGCAACAACCGCCCTGCGTCTGTGATGAAAGCTTCATCCATGTGGACAGAGCCGCTGACATCACGTCCAATGTGTGCACCTGAGCCTTCTCATTGGTGGTGATGGCTTTGTTCACTAATGAAGCTGTGAAATCGTCGATCGGCCTGACCTTAGGATCGCCGTGATCGTCAGTTCCCTGAACGACACCAAACCTCCGAGTCAATGTGCAGCCTTGCAGTGAATCGATCGTGTGAGGTGACAGGGGCCCAACAAGCCAACCCTTCTTGGTCTCCTCAACCGTTTTGTCCCAGACTCCTGCATCGATCACCGAGTCGCCCGAGGACTTGATGTTCTGCAAAGTAGACCTAGCCTGCGAGCGAGCAAGGGCAGCGAGACCGTCCACTGATCAGGGCAGGAACAAATGGTTTGGGGAACGCGCCGCACGCCGGCACCTCACCAACAACGTTGAAGCCTTTGAGGAACTGCAACGGGAGGTCAGAGTCAACATACCCAACGTCCAGAAGCATGCGCTGCCACAGCAGTAAGCGCTTTCCCTGTATTATGTCTCCGACATCGGGATGGCAGGAGGCGTGCAGTCCACGCTCCTCCTTTTGGAGATCCAAAAGGTCTTTGGTCCACTTGCGACACCAATCAATCCTGCCTTCAACAATGTCCTGCCAATCCCTGTTGAAGTGTTCATCGATCACATTGCGAATTTCACTGGGCAACAGGGCTTTTGATCCAAAGGGGTGACCAAGTTTGCAGGCTTCCTTGACAAACTCATCAGGTTGCCACTTCACTGCCAACTTCCAGCGATTGAAGGCAGGTGGGTGCGAATTGATTCTGTCGATCTCATCCGCCTCCTCATTTCCACGATCACTCTTGCCACTCTTGCTTCCAGATTCCCCACAAACAAGCGGAGTGGACGCCAGGAAGATGGTGTGGTCCGGGATGCTCTCGCCAGAGGATGCAGTGATAGCATCAGCCAGCTTGTCATCAATGAGGTGACGAGATGGGGGCTCCGGAGTGCCGGCCGCGACGTCAATGGTGAACACAGATTTGTACTCAGGGGCCCACAGTGGAAGCTTGCTGGCCTTCAGGGGATGGCCAGCGGCAGCCCGGACCTGGGAATTCATGGACAAGTCGGGGCCATCAAAGGTGTGGGACACAGGGACCACGCCAAAGCTGAACAACCGATCTGCAACAATGTTGGCGATGGCATCACACAGGCCGCGAGGATAGGCCGCCTCCAATGACGTAGAGAAGGAACGAACGAACGACTACGATGTTTGGGTTGGCTGCCTAAGAAACAAGTGCAAGAACCAAGATGCTCAAAAGTTGTAAATCCGCAGCCCATCGTCCAACATGGCGTCAAGGTGGTGAAACGTGCGAATTCCAGTTTGATTAGTGGTCCGGGTTGAAATCATGTCAACTCATGGAGGAACGTGTGCCGCTAAAGAAGCATGTCGTGTGGTTGTCGGTGACGTTAGAATCAAAGTGAGTGCTGTCATACCTCCATGGTGTGTGTGTGGATATGATATCCCGAACCAGGGTGAAACCAGGGTGGAGCTCATTGAGCGTTGCCCTTGCCGCCTCCGCGGCCTTTCCCTTTGCCTTTGTGCTGTTTCCCTTTGCCTTTTGGGCCAGGCCGGTTGCGTTTCTGGATTTCTTCTCTGGTGCGATTTATGAATACATTGATGACATCGTTGTCTCCTGCTCCGTCGTCCTTCGCCTTTTGACGTGAAGATAGGAGGGCCTTTCCAAGTTCATGCGCTAAGACATCTTGGATGGTCTGGGAAGCCAAGCCAAACTCAAGGCGGAGAACGAAATGGTTTTTGGCCCTGATCCATGACTGGGAAGCGTCGTCAAAAGTGCCTCTGGTACGGTTGGGACTGATGAAACGCGTACTGTGTTCCAACGCTGGGCACAGCATATACCATTGATCCACTACCGCCGAGCTGTGAGGGTCGGGGTGGGCCTTATGCCAGTCAGATGATGATTGGTCAGATGGTATTGGGTAGGGCAGATGCAGAACATGGCCCAAGGCCTTCAGGACAGCCGCTGCGCCGTCTTTGCAGAGGTTCTTAAACTCACGGGTCACTTGGGCCTGCTGATAAATCGTCTCGAGGTCGGGTGCAAACTCGACGACCAGTTGTGTACTTTTTTCAATCCGGTCCAATCTCGTCTCATGCCTGTCAACCCTGGTCTCCAGCTTCGTGACTCCTTCTTGGAGAGAGTCGATGGCCTTTTTCATGTCCTTCAGCTGGGCCTTGGTTTCTGCCTTTGCCATTACTCGTGCCGAGGCTTAAAAGAGGGAGAACTCTACGCTGAGCACTTGACCCGACAATGCTATGGTGGACACAGGTGATGAAAGTGAATGGGTGTCGTGATCCTTTGTCCAACAGTCTGGTGGGGTGTGACGGTGTGCGAGGGTGGGGAGCAGACAATGGGGGGTATACCGTGACACGTGGTCCGGTTGGCAGTAGGTGACTGATGAAGTAGTTCATGACCCTCCATCCCTCGCGAAGGAGACACCTCGGACGTGCCGGGTGAGTCGACCTACAGCGGTTGGGTGAGGAGAGGGGGGGTATCTTGTTATTAGCCGCGTTGTGGACATCTAGCTTCATGGTTCTTGCGCGAAACCGTGGAACTAAAAATGTTGTGGCAAAATTCACACGTGCGGTTCGCGGGGTCGGGGCCGCGACACAGGGCCTCATGACGTGCTAGATTAGGTGTGGTAAATGTGTCATGGCAGAGCCTACATGCTTGAGTATGGTGAATTTTAGGGCCTCGGACAGGGCGCGGCGCAACTGGGCATATGTGGGTGCGTCTGCGCTTTTCACTACGCCAATTATTTCCGCAATGTGGGCATGCGTAGGTAGCAACTGTGATAAGATGTGGGACGGCCACGGCATGCTCATCTTCATAGTGGGCTTTGAGGCTATTAGACTTCTCGTATGATTGATCACAGCGGGTGTCCTGTGGCAGGATCCGGTTGCATCACGCGGTGTCGTTTACGTCATTCGCGGTTGAACTGAAATTGCACAGGGGGTGGCCGGGCTCGGGTGCTGGGGCGCCATCTATTGAGTGCCATTTCGGTCTGCTTATTTATCTTAGTGACTGGGTACGCATTGAGCACGGCTTGTTTCCAAGCGTCACGATCCTGGGCCAGTCTGAACCAGTCCAATTCATTGACATCTATCTGCGCAATGAGGTACTGCAACCATTGCCCCTGACGGAAAGGCGCGTGAGGCTTGATCAGGTGGTCTTGCCAAAAACCCAATAGAGCTTGTTTAGGGAGTCGAGCTTTGTCCATTCGCGCTACATGCCCTAACCAAAACAGACTCTGACGCGCTGTCGTTGTTTCAAAAGGTTCCCATTGCGCTAACTCATTGAGTAAGCGGCTGTTTACGTGGTTCTCGCGTTTCCATCTTCGGGTGATAAGTAAACAGCGCTGGACCGCCCAATTGACGACTGTTTGAAGTTGTTTAATTTGTTCGCGGTTCCATGCTCGAGAACGGCCAAAGCTGGTGAGTGTCGGCATTATACTACTGCTTTCATTATCCGGATGCGTAAGCTGTGTGGCAAATTCCGGCGTGTTGCACGGGCCCCAAAATGCCATGCCTTAGCTGTTTGATAAATTTTGTGATAGGCTCTAGACTTTCTGGTCATGGTATCGGTGTGGGTGCTTCCGGATTCTTGTAAAAAACCCCCGACATGACGGATGGTTGCTTGTTCCCCTTTGTGACGGACATCAGTAGGTGCGCGAGGGAAGGTCTGCAAACGAAGCCCTTCCGTTTCTTCCGGGCGCACCTTTTCTTGCCAATCCCGCATCGTTGTTTCCAACAAGATTTCGGCCTGACTCATTTCTGCGGCGAGTCCAACTAGACTTGTGTCATCCGCAAAACCTATGTCTCCTAGGACTGTTTGTTCGGCCTTTTTGTGTAGATGTTGCCGGCTATGATATCCATGGTGGACCCTACCGTCTATCTTGGTTGTCCAGGGGATCCCTGGGGAGTAACCGGATTGGTTTGCCTGTTGTGCGCGGCGGACGCGGAAGTCTTCCATCACAGCGTGATGATACAGGTTAAAAAGAGGGGGTGATGATGGACATCCCTCGCGCAGGCCCTTATCTACTGAGTAGGGGGTGGAGAAACCTTTATGGATGCGAACCACATATTGCGTGTGTTCACGCAACGCCTTGCAAACGTTCATAAACTCAGCTGGAGCGCCCTTGTGTGCCAGTAATGTCCATAGTGTGTCTCGACTGACGCGCGGGTAGGCTTTCTCTATGTCAAACAGCCGGATTGAGACAACATCCTGTGTATCGTGACTAGCCGCCGCTTCTTCGACTATGCGCCTAGTGACCTGTAAGGCATCATCTACGGGTCTGCCGCATCGAAACCCCATTTGTGTTTCATGAAGCCAAGTTTCGGTCCACGTTTGGAGTCTTTGTGCCACTACCCTAGCTAAAAGTTTGGACCCCACGCTCAGCAATGTTATACCGCGATATGTGTTTTTATCTCGTGGGGAACCTTTCTTTTTCCATAGTGGGATGACGGTGCCCGTGTTCCATGCGGTGGGCCAGTTGGTTGCTTCTTGTCCTGGGGGTGCTTCGGTAGCCGCCTGCCACATGTGTCGGACCAAATTATTGATTTGATTACGCAGTGTGGGACTACCATATTTGTAGAACTCAGCTAGGAAACCATCGGACCCCGCTGCTTTGCCGTTTTTCATATGTTTGGCACAGGCAGCTAATTCTTCGTCACTCGGGGGGGTGCTTAATGCGGGGCCGGCCGGGTTACCGCGGGAGACATTGTTCCAAACATGTGCGGCTGCGTGTTCGCGGCCGGCTTGCAGTTGTTGAAAATGAAGTTTCCAGGCTTCGCGTTCTGCTTCGGGGTTGGGGACTGTGTGTGTATGTGGGCTGCGTTTTAAGTAGTGGTCCCGGAGGCCTAATATATTATGGATAGCAAAAACTGACCGAGAATCCCCTTGTTGTTGCGCAGTGATTAGTTCATCCGTAAGAGAATCTAACCAGGTCCATTTCCAACGCAAGCGTGTCTGACGTCGATGGTGTCCAGCTTGTCGGTATGCGTGTTTGGCATCATCATACATGCGTTGGCGTGCTGCATCTCGTGGTAACATGTCATGGTCAAAAGTTCGCAGGTATGCGTGTGCATCATGAACAGCTATGTCCAATTGCGCGTTCTCGATTTCATGGCCGACGAGATGGGGACGCTTACTGATTTTGTGTTGGAGACCTAGTACGGCTGTGGATGTGTGCAGACAGAGGGAGGAGAGAGTGTCCCAGCTCAGTTGTTGCTGATGTGCACCGGCAGCTTGGAGGGCTTGGTCCAATTGTCGATGCCAGTGTTGTTGAAGGAAGTGGCTTTGTTCGCCGGGGAGAGCCAGGCGGTTAACCTGTGGACGTGGGGCCGTCACCGGATCAGTCGGACGAGGGGCGAACCGGGCCCAGTAGTGGAACTTGATTTCCACCGGGAGGTGGTCCGTGAAGTCGTCCCAATACAGCCGATCAGCTGGAGCAACATGCTGAGGATCGACCCGGCGAAGAGGAGTGCCAGCGTTGCCTCGGCGGCCTTCATGCACAGTTTTGACGTTGTCAAAGTAGCGGAGCTGATGCGCTGGTGTTAGGACATGATCGAGGATGTGGCCTGTGGAGCGCGCTGGGTGCCACCAGGTGCATCGCTTGGCGTGTGGTTGGGAGAACTTGGTGTCCACCAGTGTCATGTGCTCGCGAGTACACCATTCAAGCAGACGGTGGCCACTAGGACTGGTACGGGCGCTGCCCCAGGGGGCCAGGGTTGAAGGATGTTGGCCGTGAAGAGCCTGATGTATTTCAGCATTGAAATCCCCTCCGATGATGGTCAGGTCGCCGGCTGGGATCTTACTACGAACTTCGGAGAGCTGAGTGAGGAACGCGTTCCTTTCTGCTGCGGGGGCGCTACTGACAGGGGCATAAGCTACGACCAGCGCGAGGCCTACACGGTGTCCTTGTCTGGGAATGTGGAGGGCAAAAACTCGTTCAGATTGGGCTCGAGGGCGAATTCGGTGACAGCCGCCGGCCTGCCACGAAGCCAGCATAGAAGGGTCAAGGGCGATAGCCACTTTACCTGCAAGTTCAAGATGCCAAGGTATGGCGTCGACTTCGATCTGAAGGCTGACATCAGAAGAGAACGTCACATCAGTGAAAAGGCAAGCGTTCCATTGACGACGGGCAGCCAGTCGCAGAAGGCAGCAGGTTTTGGAGTACGGATCATACGGCGCGTTGTTACTTCCTCAGCGGCGAACGTTCCATAAGCCAAGCTTCCATTGACTACGTTGGCGTCCGTGTGTACCAGACTTGAGGTGAAGCCGATTTTTGAGTCGTCGATAGATGGCCAACTTACGGGCCCTACGTTTACGACGAAGTTTGCGTTTACTGATTCCCCGGACCATCAGGTCGGCCAGATATGAGGGCATGAAGCTAAAAGCCGGCCAAGGAGGTGAAGACCAACAAAGGGACAAGGCTGTTCAGCTTCAGGGGTCATCGTCCAGGGGCGGTCGTGGCGGAGGCGTGGCGGAGGTGATGTTCCGGATCGTGAGCACCTGGTGGGGCGTCAGGTGGTTATCCCAATGCAGGACTTCCCAATAGAGCTGGCGGTGGTTACCATGGTGGTGGACCCTGGTGGCGGATACCCTGGTGGTGGATATGCTGGTCGTGGATACCCTGTGGCGGATACCCTGTCCTGGCGGGTCCTCGCGGCGGTCCTCCTGGTGGCTTTCATGGTGGACATGGACATCTGGGCGGTCCTGGCGGAGGGGGTTTTCCTTTCCATCCTGGCGGCGGTCCGCCTGGTGGTGGTGGCGGGGATCCAGGAGCTCCGTACGCTGGACTTCCGGCGTGGTTGGGAGGCATCATGGCTGGATCTTCCGGCCTTGCAGGAGCTGTCGGTGATTGGCTGACGACGGTGGGGCCATTCCTTCGCGATATGTGGTGGGATGAGGTCCTAAATATTGCTGGAGCCCTTTACCGTGTGTGGCTTGGCTCTGAACCCATGGAGCGCTTGAGGTTGGTTGCTGTTTCTCCTCCAGCCTTTCAGAGGGCGCCTTCAAAGGTACGGTACGTGAACAGATGCCATGTGGAGACACAGGGGTGTGTAGTCAGCAAAACCCTCAAATACGACATTAAGCAACGTATCTTTACCCGGCAGTCCACCCAAAAAACTGCCCGGAGCGACCTCCCACGTATCGGCGAGGCAGTGACAACCACCAAAGTGGAGGCCACCAACACCTTGAGATACAGCCTGACACCTCACCTTGCAACCTCTAAGGCAAAGCACCTGGAGTATGGGGGCCGCGAAGTGCCTTACTCAAGATCACAACATTTGCACGCATCAGGTTCTTTGGCCCAATGGCGGCCGTTTCGACCTTGCTCAAGATCACAACTGTTGCACGCATCAGGTCCTTTGGCCCAATGGCGGCCGTTTCGAGCTCCGTTATCACTCATGGTGGCCTGGGCCGAAAGCGATTCGGTAGGTTCGACATGGACACAGGCATGTCTCGAAAAGTTGGAACTAGCAGCCGAGACCATCCGCTTGATCTTCTTCGTCCTCGGCGACGACGCATCCCTAGGCCCATTGAGCTACCTGTATGTTTTGATTCGCCGAGCTCGTGTTCAAATCATTTCGAATGGAGAGTGCACTGGCGACGACATCACGACCTGCACAACCTTGGGGAGCTTTGAGGGAATACAAGGAAAACGCCCACCTTCGCTCGTGCATAGCCTCGACCAGGGACACCATCCAAGAGCTTCAATTGATTGTGTCAGATGAGGAACCGGTTCACACCTTTTTTGGACCACCTTTGGACCTACTGAACCGCATTTCCAATGCCTCGGTCCCACCAGCGGTCCCACGGCCATAACCACAAGATTCCCTCTGGCTGTCAATAATCAGCCCCAGTGTTCCCTAAAGATTAGCACAGATTTTTAAATGCGCTCACCCGCGCCGGAGCAGAAATTTAAGCCTTTGAGCTGCCTTGAATGTGCCCATGCATGCTTGACCCAACATGTCAGTCACTCGTCCACATGTTATCACTGCAAATATGGAAATTCACACACCCCGTGCCAGTGGCTCATTAGTTCCGGGCTGATTGTGAAGAGTGCATTTAGACCGCCATGACCTCGCTGATCGACTCTCAAGCTGCATCAAGGCACGAGCTAAGGAGCTCAACGTGCAGGCGGATGTGATGCATGGCTTGGAGAACAACGGATTCGGCACTCTCAGCACGATTGCCTTCTGTTGCCAAAGCTCACCTGGTCAGAACATCACCGATGATCAGCTGCAAGACTTTCTCAATAACCTTGGCCTGACCAGGGCGCCGTTGGCCCAGCTCGCCATTCTGAAGCGAATCATCTTTGAGGCCCACACCTTGATCATTCACAGCCTGAAAGACAAGGTCGAAGCTACTGACCAAGCACCAGTGAGAAAACTCAATGCTGCTGAGCGCAATGACCGCGCTGCCAAGCAGGCAGCCCGCTTAGCTGGTGTTCGGATGAAGAGTGAATTGCAGGTTGCGCATTGTGTGATTGATGCTGTCAACCATCAGCTGGAGCAGCGCCAGCTCAAATATCTCCCTCCTCACAAGTGCATCAAAAGGGAGACGGAGCTCACCGGATCCAAGCCTCAGCAACGGATCTTTTTGGGCAATGGTTCATTGGCGGTCAAAGACCAAGAGCTGCGCCTCACTTGCGACGCAAGCACGGAGCTCCAGGCCTTTCACGCCCTTCAACGGCGTGCCTTGGCTTACGACGCTTGCAACATGCTGACGTATGACGTGTCCATGGAATGGATTCATTTATCTTTTCGAGCACCTCCATCGCGATAGCGCCCCTGGCTACATCAAGCCCGATCTCACCGCGATTCTTCGCGCTGATCGTCAAGCTTGGATCGTCATGGCCGAACAGTGTCACGACTTTGGGCTCCAAGCGGACGGCAGCTTGCCATTGGATCAGCTGCTTGGCACACTGAAGACTCATCCGGATGTTGCCTTCAATCTGTTGCCCC